GAATGAAAATTAAGCTGCTCTTTTTCAAGACTGTCTCAATTTTCACTGCGTTTAGAATAAGATTCCACTTCAAAGAATTTAGAGAGCACGGCAATTTGATAAGCCTGTAATCCAGTTGGATAATCCAGTTGTCCGTTGCACTTTCTGCAGAAACTACGTTTTCACATCTTGTCCTTTCTCGACATTGCGGCAAGAGAATTAAGCGACGTTCGTTGCGTAAAAGATACGACGTTTTTGCAACGTCGTCGCGTCGCGCCTGTCCCGTTCCGACTTGGTTAACGGTTTACAAATCCTGTAGATCCTTTTTCTGAATCGTATATACATAAATCAGCGGGGTTTCTTTAAAACAACGCAATTATTTCGATCGTCTCTGCATGCATCCAGCCTTTATTTCCAAGAACGTCATGCCTGACGATCGATGATCAAGATCGCAAAAGGAAACTTCGAATTCAATGTTTCTCGTTTCGTCTGAGAATTGATATTATTGCTCTCGTAAAGCAGTCAATTATTCTTTCTAAACAATCGTTAAAGCTCGCTAGTTTCGGTGTTAATAACAGCAGCCTCGCGGTGCAATTTCTCTTCTCTGTTTGCACCCATCTTCTCGCTCATCCAATTTCCCTGCGTTTCGCAACGCTAACCATATTAGCCGCATGTTGTTAATGTTAATTAATCGTTGGCCCATAACATCCCGTATTTGCCGTACAAATACGTCAACATAACGTTTTTATATCTCGTAGATGCTCGACAAATAAGCCGATATGTCACCTGTCATCATCATTTTTTACAGCATCAGCCACTTTCTAAAGTGTGCGCATATATATGTACATACATCACGCGTGTGATCTGCGATTTCTACACAAAAAGGGTCTTATAGAAAAAAAAAACAATACGTGAATTGTTTTTAATAGCAATAGAATAGATTAAATATTAACATATTGCGTGAAATAGAATATTGAGGAACAAAATATATAGGAATCTTTTATTTACAAAAGAAAACATATAGTACATTTCCACTTTATAAACTTATTATATCAAACATTCGTGAGAATTGATGATCATCTTTGTGAATAATTACGCGCCCTACGAGGTTAAAATACACGAGAAACAATACATGGAACTTGATCCATAAAGATAGACTATTCATCGATCAGCAATCATGATTCAGCATCTAGATTTATCTATGCGACAAAACTTTCACTATTCTCATCTCATTATGCGAGCGAATAGTCCAAACAAATTCTGATCTCTCAGATATGTTTGATCGCTCTTAAAAATTATAGACGGATATTTCAGACGAAATTTTTCGTAAGGTTTTGTAAAATGTTGCTTTTAGAATAATAATGACTTTAGCAGCTTTAAACGAGATTTAATAATAATAACAACAGTAAATTATATCTAATAATAATATACCTAATTATATAAATTATAATATATATATATATATCTTAGGAGAAAGGCAATACGTTATAGACTATTAATAAAAAATGTATTGTTTATTACACATTCACAAGTTTATGAGATGCAGGTAACAGTAAAAAGTGACATCATCTTCTTATGAATAAGGATGGGATCAAATACATTCTACATAGTGCCGATAATATCTACAGCACGTTCGAATTTTTTATTAGCACTGGGAAACATAACAGCATTTAAATGTAATTGAAACTTTCCGCGCTATAATCGAACCTAGATGGAAGAATACTTATAAAAGTACTACAATGGAACATAACAGTCTCGTACGTACAGTTACAACAAGAACACATATTTCAATCTTTTATACACGCTTCAAACATAAATCATACGTTTTTAAGTCAAAACAATTTTTATCATAACACGATCCTACGATTTTTATCAATTTCGTAATTTTATTGTTTTCCTTCTAAATATATTTTCTAAAATATAAAATATCTCTGAAACCATTTTTTACAATTTTCGATTATTTTATCTTAATATCTTTATGAATAATATAATATTGTACTATCTTTATTACTTTTATTATGATTAATGTTCCTAATTTCGTAGAAAAGATCATGCGTTTATATTTCAGAAAAAAGGCTTTACAGCTGTTTTATTGTATAAAATGAGAGCTTATAGTGTTAGAAAGTTAGACATCATTAAGTTAATTGAATTGTTTTCCTCTATTTTTCATCATCAATTATAAAAGAAATGTGGTAAATTGCACGACTTATCACTTATATTCTGTACAGTTTCGAGCGCAATTAAATATTATTACACATCTCTTTTCAGTATTTATACAAATTCAATTGCATCTATTTTACATTTCGATATTGTTACCAGTAATTATGCATTCGATCGATTTGTAATCATATCTTCGATCTTATAACACATACAGTTGTAAATATTTCAACTGTTACATATCCATAACTTTAATAAATCGTTTATTATCATTTTATTAAAGTCATGGAATAGCCAAGAATCTTGCACGATATTTAATTAACCGAGATTCGCTAATACATATCCAGCTTTGTCCCATTTCTACTCGTGATGAGGATATGCTTTAAGTGCATTTTAATTAAGAGAGACGTATCGGTGAACTATAATTACAGGAATACTCTCGTTAATTCTGGGTGACATCGCTTGCGGACGTTACATGAATCATTATAGCACGCGTCGTACATCATTACACATGCGTGTGTCGTGTATCCACGATGCGAAAGTGCGTGCGGGACTAATTGTAAGACACAGGCGGTCATTCTACGAGAAACCACCGAGCGCCTACCTGCGAGGAAGGAAGAGATGACTTTCGCTCGTTCGCAACGCAGGTCGTATTCTCGGATACGCGAATCCGAGCGTCCACCGGCTTCCTTCGGCGCGTCGGAGGTCTATCATTTTTGTCATACGAATCGACTTTCAACGACGGCGAGAAAAAATATATAGAAGAGGAAGAGAGGAAAGAGAACCTTCGGCCTCGCGCGAATGCACTACCGCGGTCGCAGATCGCTAACACTTCCGGTTTTAGAATGCGCGGGCACCGCGCACGATGATCTTCGTCTTATAGGACACGTAACAAAATTATTCCGCCTTTCTGTTTTTCTCTTTCTCTCCCGTCCCTCCTACCGTCGCAGCGTAATGAGGTGAGATGCGAGAGGCGAGAAGCGAGACGAGGCGAAGATGAGCGGGATGGTTTTCAGGCTGGATCGGAACCTCTTCTTGATTTCTGCACAAGCGCGATCAGCCCGCATGCTAGTCCACCCATGAAACAACGGAAAGCGGCTTCTCGCCGCGAAATCCGACAAATTTGTGCCTCGCCTCGTTGAAGAAGATCTAAAGATAGTGAAGATTGAAGTTACACGCTTATACAACACGCGCGATCCGATCTACAAAACTAAAAGAACTCATAAACATCGCATAATGTAAAGCTATTTCAATGTATTCACTAAGGCCTGTATTCATAATCGATTTTTGTATCTAGGATATCGTTTTAAGTACAGTCTTAAAATATCAATCACAGAGCCTCCGACAAAAATAAAATCGGAGTGTAATATCTTAAGATGTTACTTAAGATAATCTTAAAATGAAAACCAACTACAGTTTGGTATTCATAGATCATTCTTATTTTAAAAGATTATTTTAAGTATCGTTTTAAAATGCTACACTAAGAAAAATATTTGATTGAAAATAGACAAACAAGAAGATTCTAATTATATATCAATTAAAATTCCAAAATTTTTTTTTGTTAAATCTACTAAAAATTCTATTTGAGATGATCGGAATTCTAATTGATTTGATTAGAACTTTCTGACTTCTTCATTTTCAACTAAACCATTTTTCTCGATATAATACGGCTCTCTGATTGGTTCATGACATCTTAAGATTGCATATTTAAAACTATCTTAAATATAAGCATAACCGACTATGAAGATATGAACACCGATTGAAATTGAGAATTGAGCTTTTAGAAGAGGACAGAAGAAATATGAAATATGTAGAAGAAAGATACGGTTGTTGTGTCATATTTTTGGTATCTTCAACATACATGTCCCGTTCTTCTTCATTAAAAAAAAAAAAAAAAGGATGATGGGGTTTAGATCATCTTTGCGGGAAAGTCTTCATTTTCAATGATGAAATCGCGCCTCATTGCGCGGTATTGCAAAACGAATGTCTCGGCTTGATGGTAACCGCGTTACATCGTCGAGGACCCGCGTTATTATACACGATTCAGAACTCGTTACAGTCGCCGAAGATCTCTCGATGTCGACAGGATCCACTTGCAACCGATTATCTACCGGTTAGGCTCCCTGATCGACGACGTCGGCGAGAGGGTGTTATCAAACGCGCGACAGATAGGTACGTCTCTGAAAAAATAATAATTAATCCGTCGCGTTGCAAAACGTATGTCCAAGCGATAAAAGCCGCTTGAAACGCGATGCGTTCACTCGGGAAATATTCACTCGGGAGCTCAGGCAAGCGTCCCCGCGAGCGTGCGATGGGGTAACACGTACGTCCTCGTGATGACTGCATTGTAATTGCATGTGATGCAGTCAAATTTGTCGCCTAATGACAGCAGTAATTTCGACGCAATGCCTGGAAATCCGGAGCGTGTACGCGTGCATTCCTCTCGCGCGGATTCTCACCGCCGTCATCCAGTCCGTGATAATATTATACCCACGAGAGAATGTAATCTTCCTTTCATAATCTCACGGGTATATTATATTTTTATGACGATTATTCTTATGTATTTGAGGTGCACAAAATCCAAAGAGCACACAAAAGTCAGCGAACAAAATCCAAATGTCTTCATTTCGATTCTCACATAACGCTCTCTCTAGTAAACAGTCCCAATTTTTTAATCAAAAATCATTTTGACTTTTGTGATGCCAAAATAGAGCTATATTTTTGACTTTCTCTCGACTTGGGGTGTCTTTCGGAAAATGACTGTCTTTGAGAATTAATGAAGTTTCGACGGACGACGGGATGACGATCTTGAGAGGGCGACGGGACTTTTACCTGGGCGCGCGAAAAGCTGAAAAGTCTTTCCCATGAGAGAAAGACAGAGAGAAAGGAACGGGAACGGTGAAGCAAGGCGAGCCGGTGATCGCGTAGTGGGACCAACAAAGTTACCTGGATCGACAACAGATACTTTTCGCGGCAGTAACCACCAAGACACCATGACGACACGATCACTCGCATCGTCTCCGACACGACGACCGTCGACTGTCGGCCTGATCACTGTGCTCCTCCTTGTCGCGGTGGCACGTAAGTGGTCCTCTCTCGACCTAACCATTCAATTTCGATTGATCTGATTGCTTTCGAAAAAAAAAAGAAACGAAAAATGTTCTCTGTCTTTCGACATTTAATAACCCGACTTATAGCAACACGATCGTGAAAGTTCATTGAGCTCCGATTTGATTGATGAAGATGTAGGTATAGTGAAATCACGGATTCGCGCAGGATAAGATAAGGGATTTGGATAAAAAGATGTCGCGAATTTTTCAACCGATTGTTGCGAATTGTTTATATTTTTATCATCGCAGTAAGTGAATGAAAAGTATTAGTAGGCTTCTGTTAAAAGTTTACCGGACTTGTTATATTTATTAAGTTCCTCCGAATAAAACTCTATAAAACTTTGAGAATTAATTGTCATTATAAAGAGTGAAATCTTACTCTGAAAGATTGAAAATTGAGCTACTGTTCTTCAAGACTCTTTGGAGTGAGATTCCACTCCAAAGAATTTTGAACAATCTTCCGATCGCGATTTGAAATAATTACGAGGAGACTGAAATATTACGCTTGATCCTGCGACTCTCATTCCGTGGTTTATTAAGCGATGTCCTTGACGAAAAGTGAGGGGATTAAAGATCTCAGATTATCTTACGTTGTCGGGATATTATCTTCGCGTCGATGTGCTTGAAGTTACAAAACGTAAATATAAAATTACGTATGGATGGTGTATCGTTAGCCCGGATCTATAATTGGTTTTTTGAACTTTAAACCATAAGAAATGGACGAATCACAGTCAATTATTCTCCTCGCATTTCACTGTAATTAGTCAATTTCTTATTTAAGGCTTAAAATACCATTGTAGATCCAGACTTACTCGTCGTTGAACTTCCATGAAGTCTACATATTCTGGTGGATTAATTTAACAAAACTTTAACTTGGATTTATCGCCAAAGAGCATTTCTATCGCATTATTCGAAGTAATCGAGATACTCGCACGCGATTTCGCAGGCTGTTTCCTTGTCCACTCTACTTACCGTCATCTTGCGGCTTCGCGTCCCAGGACGACTTCACGCTCCGTGTTTTTGCGAGCACCATTTTAGCGTGTACTTTAGAAAGCAAAGAGAAATTATGCGGTGCTAACTTGCAATTAATAATCGCTTGATCTAAAAACCAATATTAGTATATAATAATAGTTCGCCAGCTTTGTGTTCCGTAATGAAGTAAAAAAAAATTTGATTAATCGTGCAAAGAAATTCAGCTTTCTTCGAGACTGACACGGCCGTAACATTCTTATCGTAGAAATTCTAAAATTTGATTCACGTGCCTTACGAATTTCTGTGAGATTTTTTCAAACAGAAATTAGAAAATAAATATTTTGTTGACGATGCAAAGATACATATACAGTATTAACATAACATAAATAGCAGATATTAATATAACTTAAAAAAAAAATATATATAATATTATAAAATTGAGATTGACAGGAAAATATTACATTAAAAATTTCCAAATAGGACGGAAGATATTTTTTTTTTATCACTGATGTAATTTTCAGAACGATTCGCGGAAATTTAAGAGAGAAAGTCCCAATAAAATAATAATAAATAGCAATCGAAAAATGAGAAATTAAAGTCGAATTGGTCTCATTAGAATTTGCTGTTGAAATTTATTAATCAGTTTCTGCATTCTAGAAATACATAGCAATCCGTGTGCGTCACGTGTAAATAAATATGAGGCACGTGCGTGGGATTTACAAACAGAACGAGGTCTGTGTAAAACTGAATGCCAAAACTAGAAGATCTAAACGCGAAGAGACAGCGGCGGCGGATGAAAACGAAAGGGCGATAACACCGCGGGCCTCGGCGGGCCTCCTGACATTTCCAGGCTTCCAGGAGGTGAAAGTGGGAGCCGGATAACCGTAATTGGCCATCCGTACATAACACAAGTTCCGAGTCCGCAATGTCGTAATAACGTCTGCGAATAGTAGCCAAAATGTTCGCAACGCGCGAAATAATCTCGTCGTGATAGGATAATACTCGAGTCACACCGTTGTCTCATTGTGAAAACTACATCATTTGTTCCTAAAACGTTTGCATTATTTCTTTATTGTTGGAAAGAGTGAATCACGTCTGTTAAAAAATGCATTGTTTCCTTCTTCTATAGCATTTTAAAAGTAAACGCGATAGTTATAATAATTTAAATATGCGATAAATCGTAATTTAATCTTGAAGCTCAATCTTGGAAATTTGACGTTTAGTAAATTATAAACCGATAATATCATGATAACATATTCTATGCATACAAAACTTGGGCTATAAAAATAAATGAAAATTGTAACGTTTTATTTTTTTAAATTGTGCACATTTACTGTATATGAAAATAGCCGCAGATTATAAAGACGTGATCATCGAGAAATTCGTAAAGATGTAAATTGTAATTTCTGCGATTTGCGGAAGTGATGACATTATACTTTAGAATTTCTCTCTCTTCCTTTCTTTTCGTATGAGAGTAAAGCCGAATCTTTTACTGATTGATTAATCAGCGCTATTATTTATTCGTGTATCGCTTATACTTATTTAAACGCATTAATTCTAAAATTTAATATGTTCTTCAGTTCTAAATTTAAATTCCTTTACACTTTGCCAATTACACGAATTATTATGCCATGTTAAGCACCGTATTGATTTCTTGAATATCATCTTTCTCTTATAATTTTTTTAGGAGTGTTTTTTTCAAACTAATAGATATCGGTCTCTATCGATGTTCATTAACTTTAATATCGGTTTAACAGTTTATCTTTCTCTCTAGTTCTACGAATGAGATAAAAACAAGAATAAATTAAATCAATGTTAATTTACATTATAAGAGTCATAAAAGAATAGCGCAAAATAGGCAGGCTCATTTATAGTCATGATCATAAAGTCTATTCAGCGAAGCCGGATCGATTCGAGTTTCTAAAAGAGCGAATTGAACTTCGCTGTTACGTGCTGAAGCTTTCAGTTGAGCGGCATTCGTCTCACGATACGATGGAACGAAGCAACGATACAACATTCCCGCTTCGAGTCCTATCAATCCTAACATCTCGAACGCGCTGTTTCTACGTTGCTTGTTGTAACGTATTCTGCAATCCGTGTTCGTCGAATCACTCGCGGAAACGCATGTAACCGCGCGACCTTGATTAATACGCGCACCACGCCAATCTTCGCCGTCCTGACGTTTCTGGATGGATGATGGCCAATTCCTGCTAAGGAATTCTAACGGTGCCCGGGGCGAACGAAGGGTTCGGTTTAACGAGGTAGAGTCAATGTAACGTAAACCAGTGTGCCCGATCCTGCGAGCTGTCAATGGAAACGCGCAGACTTCACTTCGCATTACTTATCTGGCACACGTGCGATACGAGCTGTAAACTAAACACAAATATGCGACGTTCGATGTATCATTATTAGTATACCTTCTCGTATCCTATTCACACATAGAAACGAAGCTTTTGATGATGAAGTATCAAAATTATCTACACTGGAAGAAAAGATTGGTTACTGCAGCAAATTAGATGGTAAGATATGGCACAGTATTTTTAACTGGCTGCAGCTGTCAATTTTTTATTGCAGCAGCCAATTAAAAATGTTATGCCATATTCAGCCAATCTTTTCCTTCAATGTAGACACAGATTTGTAAATTATTCTGTTGGACTATTAAAATAATTATATGTAAAACGCTGAAACTGGTTGCTAGAATGTCAAAACTGTTTGCAGTTCATCTTGGTTGGGATTCCAACGTAATAATATCGATGGTGTCTGACAAAATTATTTTTAGACCCGTTTCTATAAATTTTTTTAATATTTTGGCGAAATTGTATTTGGCAGTTCTTCAGTATTTTCTCGTATTTATGTATACTTATGTTTGCTTATTCACCTCGAAATGAATTCAGCTTCGAAATGAAGATCTGGGCGCGAGTTACTTGAATTCATTTCAACATGAATGTGAAAATGTAATGCATAATAACGTTCCGCGCCACTTGCGTGCAAGATGATTTCCTGGGAGTTCGAAAGTAAGAAAGATATCAAATTCGGAAAAAAAAAGTCCAAGAAACGCTAATCGTGACTGTTCCGGGCGAACCACGTCGACGCATCTTTGTCGAACGCGACCACGAGCGATTCGCTTCGCAGGACTCGGAATATGCGTTTCGCGGAACCCAGTTTTGCGTACGGGAGCGGTATAACGATCCACACCGAGCGGCTCAATCAATCGTTCTTGACAATTTATTCGCCAAGTCTCGAGAAGTTATACCGCGGTTACCGTTATCCATCGTACCGTACTTGGGAGCGAGTCTATCGGCTGGCCCGGCCGTACAAATGGGATGTATCATTCTAACGAACCCAATAAAGCCGTGTACCACGCGCATTATTATACGCGGTTACCGGTTCTATCTCCCCCATGATTTCCCGCAGACGGCTGTCTCCCAGATGATAAGACGTGGCTAAATGGCATGTGAATGCACCATCGACATATAGTACTAGCATAGAGTCGAGATCATCTTGACAGGCATAGAAAGAGATGGAACAATGTATGGGTAGAACATCCTACTATTTTTCTCTCTCCTAAAACAAAATTCGACCAATATGACAATAGTATATAATATAGAAAGGGAAGCTCCATGCCCATATAATTACATTTCTCTTTTTAGATCCGTCAAGCTGAAAGATCGAAGTGCTAGATTTCGCCGCACGCTCCGTCCAATTTCTTGGTGGGTGCTCTCCATTTGATGACACGTGTCGTTACGAGTGGTTTTCTAACTTCGTTAGTCTCTGAATGTCAAGAAAGATAAAGTGACGTTTGTGTCGACTTGTATATCACTAAATGGAAAGCACCCACTGTATGTTAATGCGATACATGTATATATATGGACATGCATTCGTATCCTCTTAGCGTACGAGAAGAATGCGTTTCCACGGTCGGGAATTAGACGCGAGAGTTACGTCAAGGCCGATGAAGTTTGCCTGGCTATTGACCAGTAATTCGCCGCATTAAAGCATACTTCCGCGCTTTGTCATTCCTCGCTGCTTCTCTGTATAACTAGTTTTCTAAAAATATCCACCGTTATTTCTTCGGCTTTCAGACGGAGTCCGATGAGGGAGTATTTCGGACGAGAAAATGTCTACACGCGAAAGATGTGGCAGAACAAAATACGCTTCCATGACTTTTTTTTTTCCTTACTATACGCAAAACACGCAAAGTATGAAGACAAAAGTAGTCTTTCTTTTCCTATAGTAATCCCAGGATGCGCATAATGTCACGTAACTCGATAAGTGGTCAACCGATTATTCAGTTGCGACATTATTTTGTACCGCAATTGTTATTTATTTCGCTGTATACAATTATGTTAATCCTCCGCAGTTTATCACTTACTGTGTTTGAATAATCGTCCGGATGCAGAACGCAACGCGAACGGTAGAATGTATTCAACGAGCTTATAGATGAAGAGATGATAGCTATATTGCTAGAGCTAATATACGAAGTTGTATTCCGTTTCGTGTGATTTCTTATTCCGAGTAACGCATAATTATTCCACCGTTTATGCTAGTTACTTAATGGTAATTGTGATTATGAATTTCCTTTTGGCAGAAATATGCAGCGGAGCATATTACGGAAAACTGATTGGTAAGCTGTCTGAACTTCATCATGGCGTGAGCGGCGAGGTTTATGCCGTCGACGCAAGGACGCTATTTATCAAGGATTTCACCTACGATGGCGAAGGTCCAGGTTGGTACATCGCGTTGCAGCGTGGATTAATCCCTTCTCTCTCTCTCTCTCTCTCTCTCTCTGTAATCAATCATACGGAAGCGAATTATCTTGACTGTCATCGTCAGTTATTCAACTGAAGAAATATTTAATATTCGAGTTTTAATATCGAGTAATTCATGTATTATTCTTTGGTTGCGATACGAAATAATTGGAATGATGTAAGAGACATGATTTTGGAATAACGCATTCCTAATTTTAATAATGTTTTGAAGCTATTAGAAAATCGAAAGCTTAAAATATGAGTAAACTTTGATATTATAAATTATAAGGATATTATAGGTTTAATTGAAAATAATTGTGAACAAAGGATAATGCTAATTACGAGACGACACAGATTGATCGTGTGTGAACTATGCATATTATTTAGATAAACATCGAATAAACGTTTCAATTCTTTTCTGGGTCATCTTCAGTACTAAGCAATTAACAATTGTATAATTAGTATAAATAATCAATATATTAACACCCCTAATTTTATTGGAACTATGTAAAAAAATTCTTTTTTCAATTAAATTCATATTACTTTAACAAGTAATTCATACTAAACAATAATTTTTTTCAGAACTTCTTTCAACATATACATTACTTTCTACATTAGATCTCAAATGATGTCGATAGAATAATTGAAATTAAATAATTTCAATGGATAATGTCTTTAAATTTCATATACATTACAATGTACGTAGAGTCTGGGATTTAAATACACCATACAATCAAATACACACAAAAGCAAGTGATGTATAGTCAATTTCAAACTTTGTGAAGCAGATTGTTCAAATATGATAGTCGCCAGGCAGATAAAATACATTTTGAGAAGTACTTAAAATATTAAAGCCAATGGTCATAGTTTGTATCACAAAATAAAATAATCAATATTTTGACAGCTTAAAGAATATAAAACCCGTTATTATTATAAAAACCGTTTCTAATTTTATAGTAATAGGTAGAGTACAATAAGTAAAATGAAAAACGAAATGTAACACGGATGTCTTCCGATTATGTCGCACGGATGTTTTCCGATTATCTCTAGGTTGTGAGAAAATTGCGAGAAAACTTTCTCTCGGCCTGATAGGCTGACCGCGATCGACTTTTCTGCCGGAAAAACTTTCCCAAATCTCTCTGGCACGCGCGTTCGTGACGTGTTAATAAGCTAACTGCTCGAGATACTCCGTTCTCCATTAATGGGATATATCTAGATGTTTATTAGAGCTTCACAGTTTGAAACCGTGTTACATGCTATCGTTTGCTATCTTAACGCCTAAACGAAACCGTTCGTCGTCATTGACGGCAGAAATTTATTGTATAAATCTTCTTAATTCTACCGGTGTTGTTAAAAACAGTTTTGATTGATAAGAGTATCATTCTTTTTAGCTGCCTTCTTTTACGCCGGAAGCAGCAAGAGTCCGGGCAACAACGGATTCCGAGTACGAGACGAGCGTGGAACGTAAGTAAAGCCGATAATACCGTTCTGTCAATTGCCGATCATTTCTGTCAATTAAGCGTAATTTAGCAAATTATAACAGCTTATCACATTGTCGAGTGAAATCTTTGTCGATTTCTAAGCGATCGTTCTTGCTCCGATTATCGACACATTAATTTCTCTTTTCGCCCAACAGCACGAACGTCCTTAAACGGTACCGTAAGAAGGACATCACTCTGACCTTACCGGACGGCAAGACCTTGAACAACATTAAGTGGTTTTCGATCTGGTGCGACGAATTCTCAGTAAGTAACGGATGTACACGCTCGTGACCTTGGATCGCGCGATATCGATTATACGTATACTTGCTCGTCCACGGGAAACCGGTATCATTTTCTCGAACTACAACTTTCACACTCGCGCGGACTTAACGGCCGCCTGAATCCGCGTGTCAAGTGAATGGGAGACGGCAAAATGCGTAACTTGATGAAACGCCACACGCGGTCACCGCGGGCTTTGCCGCGTCCGGGATTACATTACAGAACTCTCAATAGGATTTCTCTCTTTAAACTCGGAATTTTTTATCTCTTTGATGCATTGTACATTTGAAGGGTTGATGCGCACGATGAAGGAACAGGAACATAGAATAGGAACAGGAACAGAGAATAAGAATTTCAGTTTATCAGAAACTGCAGTGTATTCCATAGTGCATCGTTTCTGATTTATCGAAATTCTTATTTCCTATCCCTGTTCCTATTCTCTATTCCCGTTTCTTCGTTGTGTTCCTCTTATTTTATTAATCAAAAGAATTGCAATCTCTCTTATTCTCATACAGCTCTCCAAAAGAGACATCGTAAAAAAACCGTTATATATTCTAAAGACTTTCTCAAAACTTGTCTCAGATAAAGTGTGCTGTGTGAGTTAATGTATCAAACTCTTCGACAAATCTCTCGATGATCACGTTATCTCGATATTCTTGTAGATCATGATGGTTATGTAAGCTCTTGGAAAAGGGAATCAATATGTTATGCGATGAGCGAAGAAATCGTTTCTATTTAGGTAAACTTTGGCGATGTCAGGATTCCGCGAGGTTTCGATTATCCGAAACCACAGAAGCTGAAGACATTGAACGGCATACATGGCGTCAGTTCGGAGCCAGTTGTTATCGTAGACGCACAGACCCTTCTGATACCCAGCTTCAGTTATGACGGGGAAGCACCTGGCAAGTCTCTGTTCTTTTGCCGTTATTAACATATAATTTTAAACCTTGACATTAATGATAAATTACTGTTGCAATATTTGCGTAATGGTTAATGTTTTATGCAAAATTTTATCGGGAATTTATTAAAATCCTTTTTTTGTATCAGTTTGTTAGCTCCTCGCCACGATAAAAATTTATTTCTTTAACTTTCTGTTTAAAAAGCAACTCACAAATATCACGGATTCGCGTTACGTAAAATCCACGCACAATGGAAAAAATATTAGGAGAATAGGAATAAATATAGAGAAGTAAAAAAAATTGGGAATAGAGATTAAACGTAACAATGGATCGTTTGCTCTCTATATTTTATTTTCTAATATTTGCTCTCTAAATTTCGTTGCAATTATATATATTATTCGATAGAGCAAAGTTTCAGCTTTAAGAATCTGCTTTGTTTAATTGCGGTGTGATGATTTTTAACGAAATTATAAGCAATCAAAATCAGAATGCTCCTTTACTTAACTCGCAAATAACTTAGGAACAAAAGATCGTAAGAACATTTTTTAAAAACGATTTTGTTGGAAAAGTTTCAAGCTTTCACGATAGGTAGTTAAAAATTTTTGCAAATTTTTTTTGGGCACGTAAAAGATTCACAAAGTAAAAAAAATATTTTTCATTTTTTTTAGCTCGTAGTTTTTTATGTGTAAAAATTACCAAATTCACAGAGAAATTCAAAAAATATAATAACCTCTCGAAAGTAAAACGACTTTTTCCCCGACTTAATATTTTATCTATTGTGTCTAGGGTTTAAGATTTCAGCCGGAGATCGACAGATGACGAATATAAAACTATTTTGCAGATGCCAAGTTCTGGGTAGGCGCCGGTCAAACCCCTTCGCCGCAGGGTATTCGCGTGCCCGATGAGAACGGAAAGGAGCAACCTTTGCGTCGTTACGATCGCAAGACAATCGTATTAACGTTGCCAGCCGATCTGACAGTTCACCAGCTTGGTCATTTTGGAGTATGGTGTGAAGCCTTCGCCGTGGATTTCGGCCACGTGCAAATCCCGCATAATCTGAACATACCGCCGTCCCTTAAGATGCTGGGGGTTTCGCCACAGGTATGTGTCAAGTGTACATCTTATACAGTTAGTACCTTATATAGTGGAAGGGAGAATGGTACAACAGGGAAAATAGAGAATTAACAATGAAGAAAACTCCCAAAATTCAAAAATTAATATTAAGGACAAAGTAGGTGCGTCGACTTTCTTTAGTACATTTACTTTTAATAAAAGTATTTGAATGTTTCAGTCTTTATCGATACACAATAAACTTTGTCTCTAATACAACATTAATTTTTGACAGTAGGAAAGTACATTAACACGTAACTCATGCACTGTGACGCTTCACTATTTATAATATAATCGCAGTAATCGCACGAAGCGATCCAAAATCGACAGAACTCTGACTAAACTGACAGTGTGATGATGCAATCAACATCACTCGGATATATTCGGTGTTACTCCTATAATTTTTAACGACAAACGGCATAGGCCTTTAATCTTAACGATTAATAATAATTAACGACAGTATGCACCAAAAATTTACGTCTTTTCTACACCTTATCGTTTGACACCTATTTAAAATTAATGTTTACGTGAACAAGTATTTGCAAAATTAATTTAAACAAATTGAGGTGGGGGGGGGGGGGAAAAAAA